AAAACAATCCTCAAGAGATGGAATATAAATAGGGCTTATGAGACACTTCTTATTTTTTATCTTACCTAAATTGAAAACATTTAAAATGTTGGTACTCGAAAAGTACAAAGTTCTTAGGAGAGCTTAATCAAAATTATTGAGGCAGTTTCTAAAGTATGCCAGCAATTAAATAGAAAAAATATTAAATCAACTTTTCACCATCACTTAGAAAACTAAGAGTTATAATGTATGGCTTTTCCTTAAGCAATAAAGAATCACTTTCATCCTTTCGTAAAATAGTTTCATTATAGGGCAAATAATTACAGCACACTCCTGTCGGGTTTTGTTTACCGAAAGAGAAACACAGCCTTTAAATTACTTGAAAATAAAGATGAATAAAAAATATAAATTTAATAAGGAGACCCAAAACCTGAGCTCCGAGGAAGTCAGGTCACATTTAGCGACCACAACAACCTAGACCATGGTTCTCTCAAGTCTTCTGAATAATATCTCTTCCAACAGAAACATTTCCCCGGACTACAGGACAGGACACAAAGGGAGAACACCAAGTACTGAGTGACTCTCAACCACTTCCTGCAGTCTGAAACCCTCTGTGGAGGTCTACCACCTCATTCCTGAACATGCTTAGAAAGTATGAGTGCATAGGATTCTGGTTAAAGACGTAGCTAAGCAAAAGGGAATAACAGAAGTCCAAGGCATGCTGCCCGATTTGTTTAACAAGACATTCCTAAAATGAGTATGCCTACGCAGTCAGCCTGACTTCTGAGAGCTTACCTGGCCTCTCCTCAACAGAAAGTGCATTTACAATATCAAAGACAGACAATTCCGTAAAAAGGGGCCTCTTATCCACTTTGAAATGAACGCTGACAGAATAGTCAACACCATTTTCCAGCAAGCAGCATGTCTAGCCACAAGAACTGCTTCATGTGTACAACCTGAATTCTGAAAATGAAAATTAGACTCATGACTTGTACAGAACCCTTTCACAGGGCCTTCCGTTTATTACAGCTTATATTGTACACGCCTTGATGGCAGTAACTACATTATGACACACTTTACAGCTACATGAAAATTGATTTAAAAACAGTTTGTTTACCGTGAATAAAAACTGTATGCCTGTGACATTTGGAAAAATAAAAGCAAATTAATCTACCACCCACACATTGTAGATGGAGAAACTGAGGCCTGCAAGTGCTTGAAAACACACACGTGTTTGGTTTCCACTCCATAGTAATCTGGACAGTATCCAATCACAGACTGCTGAAACCCTGGTCCTCTGGAGCAATGTTCCGTACGTTCTCTAAAACACCACAGTAAAACGCTCTTTTCAAATGGCCCGGGAAACAGCAGAAGACATGGGTTAGTTCCTGCGAGGAGTTCGTTCTGGTCTATAAGAACTTTTCCATGCAAGAGTGGAATGCAAACAATCTATGTGGAAGCCTGTGTTACCCTAAGCTCTCACAGCATCTGTGCCTAGTCACTTCTTACCACCGAGGGCCTCCTCTGACTGACAGCCAGAAATGCTCTCCATTTTGAGAAATGCTCTTCAAAAAACAGTAAGTGTTGCTGATGCCTTTTGCTGACTTCCTGTTTCTAAGGCTTTTGACATCGAGTCTCTCCTTCAGCAGTTCTGAAGGCCCTTTACAAGTTCGGAGCGTCAGTCTCCCCATGGGTGCGGCTGCTCTGAACCCTTCATGCATTGAACAGGATCAGCTTGATCAGAGGAGAAAACAGGGCTTCAGGTACGCTCAGAGTAACCAAAGTGCTTGGAGATGAACAAGTCAGGAATAGCAGAAGTAATGGGAATACACGAAGGAAGGGTAAATAGGAGAAATCCTGGACACACCCCATCCCGAGCCTTAGACCTTCCAAGGCTGAGGCTTAGTGGAAATAACCCCCAAGATGGTCCTAGAGCTGCAGGGGAACCAGAATCGGAGATTGAGTCTCTCACCCTTACACAGAGAATCTTATTGCTTTTAATTGCTTTTAAAAGCAATTGAGTGAACTGAACATTGAGCCAAGCAACCACTTTATGTTCTAGAATAAGGTGGTAAATAAACAGACAATATCCCTCTTCAAGGACGAACGTTCTATCAGGGAATTCTACAAACTCCCAGCAGACGGATAGGACTGCTTCGTTGAAAAATAAAAGCAAGTGAGGAAATGGTGAAGTAGGAAGAATGAAAGTGGGGAAAGGGAAACAAAGCCAGAATTTGGGGTGTCTGGAAAAGCCTCTTGGGGAGTTGAGCCTGAAAGATAAGAAGTGAGTCATCGGAAGGGAGATGGAACGCCAAGTGAAAATACAGGAGGCACAAATGAATTTGGCTTGATGTACTAGACATGAAGTCCCCCTAGAGAGTACAGGAGATGGGCAGAGTTAAAGCAAAAGGAAGGCTTTTGATGAACTTCTTAGGTACCCTTGTCCAATGTCTTAATTGTGTAGGTGAGGAAATTATTAACCTCTGAGTTCCATAGACTGGGGACTGGATGATCGACTCAGGTGAATAGCCTATAATGGACTTTGTAGCCTGATCATCACTATTTCTTCCCGACAAATGGACAGGAGCGTGAAATTTGTATTTTGGAGTGAAGGAAAACCTCATTTCTCAGACATTCGCACCTGCCTTGTCAGGCAGATCTGTCAGACTGGAAAGCAGAAATTATTTGGCCCAAAGCAAGTTTGTATTTTGGAAACGGAAGCACGAGAAACGGGCACGTGGGACGCTGGTGGAAGCCCCTTCCCCAGACGGCGGCGTTTTCCAGCCAGATCCCCGTGGTTGTTAGTCTGCTCCAAACAACTGGGCTAGAATCAGGCATGAGCAAGGGCCTCAGCCATTTCCCCTTCCTCTGAACTTCTAAAAAAACACAAAAACTCACAGAGCCGAGAGAGAAGCCAATAAGAAGTAAGGAACATGCAGCAGGTGGTACCATCTGCACCCGACTAATTCCAGCCAAAACAATCTGCTCCCTCGAGTTCCCAGTTGTGGGGAAGGGAAGAGACTCTGACAGCGGCAGAGTCGAGGGAGGGAGTGGAGGAGGGCACCGCCGAGTCTATTATTCCCGTGATCTGCTGGTGGGAGGAGGCAGGTTATTGATGCCAGTGAACTATTATCTCTGTCTTTTGCTCTTTACAAGCACGGAGGGAGATCCCTACAACGATACCCTTGCGAAGCTGGGAACTACATCCCACACCTGAGAGACTGGCCTGGCTGTGAGCCTGCCACCTCGGAGATGGGAGGGACAGATTGGCAAGTTGCAGCCCACCCCAAAGTGAAAAAAATAAGCAACTGGGCAGGGAGATGATGTTTATTTTATTCTATTTTCCTAGCAACCAAATGCCCTCTGTCTCCATGTTCATTCTTTGACAATTACCCACAGCTTAAAACGGGCTTAGAGTCCACATGCTTTTACACCAGGATGACATTTTGGGAAGCAAAACCATGCAGTCGGATGAACTTCCTTATGAAGAACGGATCTCCCTTGGCACACTGAGAACCAGGGTGGATAAATGTACCAATGCAAAGACAGATCGAGTTGTCTGCTTTTGCTAAAGAAAGGAACAGAAAGGCTCTGAGGTAGAGGATACCCACAGCTTGCATGTCTAAGGAAAATAAGTCTACTGAAAAGGTAGTCTTGCCCATTGCAAACGTTTCACCAATGGGTTTAGGTTAAGGCACCATCTCAGGATTGTGTTAGTATTTGCTTAAAGGCATAAACTGGGGTGAGGGGGGATATTTGCCTCGTTGCTTTTCCTTTGACTAACTTATCTTTGCTATAGCTGAGAGTTGAGTCCTAAAGGATGGGCCCAGGTATATGCTGCCTCTAGGAAAGGGGGCTTCACAAGCCTGAAGGAATAGTAGACAGAAGCATTCGTGAATGAAAGCCGTCAAAGAGGGAGAAGAGACTGGGGAGAACAAAACACCTGATCCTAATCTCTGGTTGGCACTGTGTCTCTCCTCCCAGAAGCTCTGCTAAAGGGCTTACTGTTGACACCTGTAAACTCCAGCCTTAGTAGCAAACAAGGTCTTTGCAGATGTAATCAAGTTAAGCTGAGATTTTTCTACACTAATGCAGTATGGCATACACACACAAGGAGAGCCTTGAGAAGACAGAGGCAGAAACCGTAGGGGTGTGTCCACAGACCGAGGACTGCCTGTGATTGCCAGCTGTCCGCAGAAGCAGGGAAGCAGAAACAAGCACATTCTCCTCTAGGTCCCCAGAAGGAATCGATACCTAAACTTTGGGCTTTTGGCCTGCAGAACTCCGAAAGATCATGTCTGAATCATGGTCAACAAACTAGTTTGTAGTCCTTTGTTACTAGAGTTCTATAAATCTATTGCACCCCTAAAACAAGTTATGGTAAGGCCCGAGCATTCACACTAGGGAATGTACAACTTAAGTGTTCTCCAACGGACTGGACCTTAAAGAAAAACAAACAACACTAGGAATGTTCTTTCTGGTTTCGAAGTGCAGTCATAAGGGTAAAGACTAACTGCCTACCCCCCCTCCCAATATCTTTTCCCAATTAGGAAGGTTTGTGTTTTTTTTTTTTAAATTAGGATAATTAAGTTCTTGCTGCAAAGGGCACCGAAATGCAGGCCTTACTGGCTGGTCTCCTATAACGAGAGGTTTTCCTGACTCCTGTCCCACATGGTGTCCGTTAGCAGGAGGAGCACGGAGTGAGTCAGATATTCTAGTTCCAGGTTTGCGGCTGGTGTCAGTGTGAGAGGGAAACGGGAAAGGAAAACATGCATTGGGAAACCGTGTCAGAGGGCAGATCCAGATAATGGGAGCCCCAGAAAACAAAGGAAGCTGTGCTGTGTGGGAACCAAGGCCTCACTTCAGGTAGAAATGTCAGAGAAAAACAGTAGCGCTTTCTAATCTTAATTAGAGATTTAAAAAAACTCTCTCTCTCTCTCTCTCTCTGTGTGTGTGTGTGTGTGGGGGGGTGCGGGATCCAAATCCTCTTTTTTTTTTTTTTTTAATTCTTCCCCAGCTAGAGTGCAGTCTTAGAAATGAGGAAGCTACGCTGTCTGCTCAGACTCACCACTCTGGTATGAACTGAATCTTCTCCAACTCCACGTCTCCTGTGAAATTGGCTAATAATTGCTGCAATCGACTTAGGTCACCGCGATTTGGGAAGACTCTGGGGCGTTCCACGGGCGAGGCAAGATGGGAGTGAGTCAACTCTTCTCGTAGCCAGTGAGACCAGGTACTGCCAGGAGTTCCCAGAGGGTCCCTGAGCTTGGTTCTGCCCCATTGCTCCAGTCGGCCCCTGCCAACCCACCCGTGAACAGACTACAAAAGGTGTAGGTGTGAAAGAGAGGGCTCGGCTCTCTGAACTTGTCATCTCTTGGCTAGAAAAACAAACTCAGCCCTACGTCCTCTTCACAGAGAGGCAGACGGCCACCCTTTACATTTTCTTCCTCTAGGATAATATATCATCTTGAGAGCCAGGTTTAATGTGATTTCGGTCTACGCGCTGTGGTATTTTTTATATGCCATTAGCGCGGTATTACATGTTTCTGGCAATTACAGTCCCACCTAATGTATTTAATTTGTTCTGAAAATCATAGACCATCTTTACACATAGAACAGACAGCTTTTAATCCCCTTGATGACTTCCTCCTTAAAAGGGCTCTTTTAAATCTCTAACCACATTCTTCTTGGTTTCCCTCCTACACACTGACCAAGATTTGCTTTTTCACTCAACCCTTAAATGGTAGCATTTCCCAGAGCCCCCTGGGGATCTCTACGTTCCTCATTCCCATCACTGGGCTTCAGTCATTCTTTCAGCATCTACATCTTTATCCTGCTTGTACACCACAGGCCGAAAATGTATCAACCAAATGAGACTTCTCTGGCACAGGCCTTCCTGCCCATACGAACACTGAGAACCACCACCCGAGGATCTCAAGACAGCTCAGGCTTCGTATGTCCGAAGTGGGAGAGCTGTGTCCCTACCCCTCCCTCTCTGTCAATACCACATCCTTCCTATACCTGTGGTTTATCACTTGCTAAAGCATTCCATAGTTCTTTTTTTTTCAATCTTTTTTTATTTGTTTTACATACCAACCACAATTTCCCCTCCCTCCTCTCCTCCCACTCCCTCCTCCCACCTTCCCCATGCTCCTCCCATCCACTCCTCCTCTGGCTTCACTTAAACGGGGTAAAGCCTCCCACGGGAATCAACAAAGCAGGGCACATCAACCTGAGGCAAGACCAAGCTCCTCCCCCTTGCATCAAGGCTGAACAAGCATCCCACCGTAGGGAATAGGTTCCAAAGAGCCAACTCATGCATCAGGAACAGGTCCTGGTCCCACTGCTAGGACCCCACAAAAGACCAACCTACACAATTGTCACCCAGATGCAGAGAGCCTATGTGGGCCCCATGCTGGCTCCCTAGCTGTCTGTCCAGAGTTGGTGAACTCCCACAAGTTCACATCATCTGTCTCTGTGGGTTTCCCCATCAAGATCTTGACCCCCTCCCTGCTCATACAATCCCTCCACCTGTTCTTCAGCTGGGCTTCCAATCTCTGCCCAGTGTGCTGTCCATATTTCTACATTGGCCCAAAACTGATTTTCAGTTCTTTTTGTTTTTGTTTCCATCTTTCCTTCTAACCCTCCAAAGCCTGTAAACTCCTTTAGAATAAAATACAAATCCTATGTATTCATTTCTGTGAATTTCCATCTCAAGGAGATAGTAAAAAAAATTACTCTCACACACACACATACACAGAGTATTATTAGACATAAAGAAAAATAAAATTATGTCATTTGCAGAAAAATGTGTAGGATTGGCAATTCTCATGTTAAGTAAAATAAGGGCGAATATCACATTTTCTCTCATATGTGGAGTCTAGACAATTAAAGAAACAATAAAGCATGACTCTTCAGCTGGGGTGGGGCTTCTGTTGCTAATGAAGAAAGAAAGTCAGTTTCTTCAATGGTGTAATGCCTGGCATATTGTATTGACCACACTCCAGGGCAGGCTCCAGTCTCGGAGTCATAGGCCAACACAAACTGGACTCAGCGAGTGTTTGAATGGTGTGTATATATATATATATATATATATATATATATATATATATATATATATGGAAGGGGGCGGGGGTGGTGGTGGCACAAAAGAAGAGAGCTCCTGCCTTCACAGGGTAGAAAGCAGGAACTGGCTCCTCCTGAAAGTGGTACCTATACACACACACACACACACACACACACACACACACTCACTCAAGCTAATTTTTTAAATGTATGAATTCATATATTTTTTAAATATACAAATGAAAAATAAATGAGCAAGCAGTCACGGAAATGACTAGTACAGATTTGATTGCACCAAAGACCAACTTAAAGCCATTTCATGGTTCCCTAAAGCACCCAAAATAGACAACATTTTCATTAGCTTTCATGAGCTGATGCTTCCCAGCCCCACCCCTTCCTTTTCTTTCCCCACCCACCCCTTCAACTGCATCTGCCTGTCCACACTTCCCTCTATTTTCTTTTTTCTTCCAGCTTAGGAGTCACCATGAAACATCCTTCTTGGAGAGCCTGGTTCCAGGAAGACCTGCCTCTGGGCTTCCATGGGGAGCCTGGAGCAGCTAAATCAGTGCACTGACCCAGGAGCGGACTTCACAAGAACAGTGTGATCCTGGAACAGGCTGGGAACAGGCTCCCTGCAGAGCCAGCACAGAGTTTGAAGCTCAGGAAGAACCAGGAGAATAGGAGCATCCTCTAGAGATGCTGTCAGTGACAGCTAGTACCCCTAAATCCAAGTAGGACCGATTTGGTGACAAGATAGGCAACAGTATAGAAAGCGAGTGACTTAGAAGTGTGGAAGGTCCCAGAACATGCCAGAAATTCATAGTGGAGTCTCCCTGAAGATGTTTGAAAGCCATTTACAGTGGTGCTATCCGGGCAGTCTGACCCACATGGCAGAGCTTCATTTCCCATAGAGCCTCCAGCTATGCAGACCAGCAGCAATCCCCTCTGCTGATACCTTGATTAAACTCTAAAGGTCGTGAGGCCAAACACCACAGCCTGAGTCTAGTAACTTAAAAGGAAACAAATAAATAAGCCCTTTCCAAACATGAGCTCGGAGCACAGCCTTTAAGCAACTTCAGCCATGACTCAGAGAAGTGTGAACCCGGCCAAAGGAGGAAGAAAAACCTGAAATCATCCTGGATGCATGTTCTCCAATGGCTCGAGAGTTTTCGATTACCTCAGTTTCCTGACAAGGCTTTGCTGATGTCAGTAACTTACAGTAACCATCACAAGATAAGAGAGAGGTTTGTGTAGGACAGAGGTAAATTTGTGTCTGACATGACTAATATATCCTGCTAGGAAGGACAGTGGGAGGCCTGAGAAAGGGTAGCTTTCTATTGGTGGTTTTTTTTTAATAAAAATGAAGGCCATATGCATATACCCCAGAGCTCGTGGGCATGTTGCCCTGCTGTCCCTTCCCAGGAAATGAAACTACTTCCTCCAAACATCCCCAGTGGCTTTTTGTAAGGACTCCTCCACAGATGCTGTGGAACTTTTGGTAAGGAGTTTCAGAGAAGACCTGCTGTGTTTGCTTCTGAAATGCTTTTTTCTCCCCCTTTGGTTTTGATGCTGAGCATTGAACCCAAGACAAGGCCTTACTTGTGCTAACATATAGCCTACCACCAACACCCCCATCTTCTTTGTATATGAACTATTTATGGAACTAAAAAAGCAGCAGATAGTACCCTGCTTTAGGCAGTGGGCAATAATTAAATGAAGCTCAGAAATACAAGTAGAAGGTCAGAGATAGACATAATAGTCCTTTTGCCAACAGGAATCCTTGGTCAACTATGACATATAAGTAAACTGAATTTCTTAACCCACAGGCACAATTACGACTTTTTTTTCTCATGACAGGACTTGGCAAATGTTATCAGCCTACGTTGTCCCAGAGCGTGAAGCCTACAGATCACACAGGCCTTGGGCTTGGCTGATAGTGAGCTTTGCTATCTCAGGGTCAACACCGAGAGTTTAACTTTCCATTGTACGGGGCTGAGTCTGTAGCTCCACAGGCTTTCTCTGGACGTCTTTTCTGATTTCTTTATAAAACTGCTGTCTAAAGTTTGAGGTTTTGAGGATTTTGTTTCTTGGGCCCCTTGAACTAATTACAGCAAACCCCGAACTTTTAAAATGAGGACTTAGGTCTACATTTGCACAGTGTTCTTGGACACTCTCCCAAAGAGTGTATGGGACCTGTCAGATCCTGGGAAGACCATTTTCTCTGCTTTACATAAAGAAGAAGCTCTGCATCCTAGGGCGAGAACCTTGACTTTCTCATGAAAAAGTCCGGGTTTGAGTCTCAGCCTTGTTCCTCCCTAGCTGTGGGACCTTGGCCAAGTTAAATCCCTACATTTCAGGTTACTTTTGTTTAAAACAATAATGATATCGAAACTATATGACAGGGTGACTATGAGAGCCAAAGGAATCAGTGTCCATGTGAATGGTCAGTACACTGGGTCCAACAATGGAGCAAATTTACCAACAGTCATTTATTTAACTGTCCTTTCTGAGCTCTTGGGCTTAAGAGAACTTCCCCTTGGACAAGTCTTTTTTTATGTTGGTACTTAGACATTTTCCAGCATATAATTTGGGGCACCAAGGATGGGAGTGTTGGGAGGGGTCCAGGACAGTCTCAAGATTCATCTTCAAAGGAACCCTTTGTTTCCTGATGAGCATTAACCTTGGATTGCTCAAGAGAAAGAAATGCCTGGTGATTGTCTGCCCAAAGAGAAGCTCCAGGATCTAAAAACAAGGCCAGTGTTCCGCCTGGGTTCTAGATAGCCAGGACTTCCACTACTCTAAATAAGTGTTAGATTGATAAGAATTAGTTCAAGAATCAGCTTGGCCAGGAGTTTAATCTCACTGTTTCAATCTTCAGGCTAACCTTTTTTGCACATTTAAAGGAGAGACTTTTAAGTCACAAGCCAGTTTGCCCTCTTCCATCAGTTGGTCCATATGGGGACGTTCTTGCTCTTCCAAGGGAGGAGCTGCTGGACGTTGGCGCTGATGATGGCAACAACAGGAAAGCCAACAACAGGAAAGGGTTTAGGGTGACTATAGATTTCTGTTAGCTAATTGGATTTGTTATTATAGTGTGTGTGTGTGTGTGTGTGTGTGTGTGTGTGTGTGTGTGTATACACCATATGAAGATCAGAAGAGAGTTCAAAGGAATTGGTTCTTTCCACGGACCCTATTGAAGAGTGAATCTATTTAGTTTTATCAATAAAAACCCTCAGAGTCAGATACTGAGGGTGAAAGCTAGAGGTCAGAGAAGCGGAGCAGCAGCCACAGCTACTTCTACGAAATCTCAGACTGAATGTGGGGATCCTGTCGCTACGATTCCTCAGACTGAATGGGCCTTGTGGTTCTGTCTCCACCTCCCTAGTGCCGAGATTAAAGGTGTGAGATCCCAAGTTTTGGGATCAAAGGTGTGAGCCACCACCACACACCACAGGGCTCTGTTTCTCTTTTAGACTGGTCGAATCTCAAGTAGTCCGTGGTGGCCTTGAACTCTTGATCTTCCTGCTTCCTCCCAAGTGCTGGGATTAAAGGTACATGCCACCACTGCCTGGCTTCTATGGTTAACAAGTGGTTAGCTCTGCCTCTGACATCCAAGCAAGCTTTATTTGTCAGAATACAAACAAAATATCACACAACGCCCTATGACTCTAACTTAGTTGGGTGTTCTATAGATACGATAAAACATCATGAGCAAAAGCAACTTGGAGAAGAATGGGTCACAGTCCATCACGGAGGGAAGTAAAGGCAGGAACTCAAGGCAGGAGCCTGGAGATAGGCACTAAAGCAGAGGCCATGGAAGGAGCATTGCTTATTGGCTTGCTCGTTATAGTTTGCTCAGCTTGCTTTCTTATACACAGTTTCCTCTGGCCAGGGGTAAAATCAGTCACAATGGGCTGGGCCCTTCCACATCAATCATTAATGCAGAAAATACCCCACGGGTTTGCCTACAGCCCAATAATATAGAGGCATCTTCTCCATAATGTTTCCCCTTCTTAAATACATCTCAGTTTGTGTCAAGTTGACAAAACCCAACCAGCACAGGCCAGAGGATCCAGTTTAGGTCATCAGACTTGATAGCACAGAAGCAAGTACACAGAAGCAAGATTGCCCACGGAGCAATCTCCCTAGCCCATCTTTATTTTTAATTCTAATGAATATTTGATTCTAATGAATCTGTTTGGTATTTCTTGCTTCTCAAATTATTTTTATTCATGTTATTCGGCTATGCCTTTTCTTCTTTTTATTGTTACTATTTTGTTTTCAATTCTAGGAATCCTAGCCTCTGTGAAACCAACACTATAATATTCTATGAAAGTGAGAATTTCCACAAAAATTGACTTGAAAAAAATATATAGAGGGAAACCTGTAAGATCATTCCTATTATAAAAATTAAAAGATGTGTGCCATGCAGTGATTTTGCTTGCCTTTAATCCCAACACTTGGGAGACAGAGATGGGTAAATCTCTAAGTTTGAGGCCAGCCTGATCTACAGAGTGAGTTCCAGGACAGCCAGGGCTACACAGAGAAACTCTGTCTTAAAAAACAAAGAAACAAAAACACAAAAATTAAAACAAACAGATGTTATTGATAAGAAGCTAGAAGGAAGATAGATAGATAGATAATACTAGATACCACTTTGCTACTAATGAAAATGAAATATTTCTCTGTTAACTCAGACCAGTCTTTTAGTTACTTTTCAACTCTCCAACATGGTGTCATGCCTTGAAACCTGTGACTCTCAGGAGACAGACTACGTTTCCAGACAAACTTTTTAAAAGACCATTTGTAAACACATGCTTCCTGTTTGCCAGTTGTAGTACTAAATAGCTTAGCTTGATGGAGGGGAGGGCTAATGTGTGACTGTGCATATGAAAGCCAGTTATTAAGAAGGAGCTGAGAACATGGAATTCTGTGCTCTTCTGTGAGACTTCTGCTGAGGAGACAGCACAGTGCAGCCTCAAGAATAGAGGGGCCATTCAAACATGGTGCAGAAGATTCAAGATAAATGTGTCAAGTTGCAGGGAAAAAAATGTCACGGTAACATAACAGAATATGGAATGATGGCAGACACTCATGCTTTCCTCTAAGCTTTTAATGATTAACTCCTCCAGATGTCTATATTTAAACCAAGCAATGAATATGAGGTCACATTATGATACATCAAATGTATCCTCTTTCCTTAGCATTAATAAGTTATCTCTCAAAACTGCTTATCAAGAATTCGTATTAAATTGCAATGTATTTTTGTGGATTATCAGAGAAAGGAAGAAGGAAACACTGTAAGTGACGTAGGTAAACTTGGTTGGAATGTAACCACAGCCACAAACAAGTGCCGGATTCATAGACTATCTCCACTTTCAACTTTGACCTCTAACCTAAAACAACACCTTCTAGTGGCTTCCAGATGTGTAAGCTGGACCATTAGTAAACGGCTGAGACTGAGTCTTACTTCCCAGAAGCCATGTGGAAATGAATGGCTCATAAGGACATCCTAACTGCAAACAGCATGAGCGAATTTGGAGGACATACAATTATCTCAACGAAGCTCTTGTTCCAGCTTCTCTTCCTGAAAATGGTGCTTCAAAGTTAGCCTTTCTAAGAGAAAATAGAATCACTTGACCAAAGGAACCACAGTCCTGTATCTAAACTGCCAGCAGATTTGCGTGGTGTGGAGTGATACGTGCGTTACCGCCCTTTCCTGCTTAAGCTGTTCCATTATCATCCCCCTATTTCCGCTTCTAATTCTAGCACAACTATTTCCAATAAACATGTCACCTCTCTTGAAGTTTGAAGGATAAGAATTCTTCTAAAAGCCTGATCTCACCTTTGTGAGCAGTGCTTTTCCTCATTCTTAATCGTATTCTCCCAGGAATGCATTTCACAGGTCTACTGTCAGAAATGGGGAGAAAAGAAACAAACCCACCAACAATTCCGATGGCATCATGTATATGGATATTTGTGCCATTTGTGGTTTAAAAAATAACTGATTGGATTAGAAATGTCTACGGTGCAATTATTAAGTATTGTGAACCTACAGAACTGAATATTATAATGCAATGAGACTATAGAATGAAAAAAAAACTCCACCAAGTCAACGTTTAATTTTAAAATTTTAATTTACCTCATTAAAAATGCCGATATTTAATTTCAAGAACAGATGCTTTTATGTAACTTGGTTTGTTCAAGCTTAATCTTCATGGAGTTACTACCTGGGACCCATCGAGGGTCGGCAGCTTTGGCAGTGATTCAGACTGCTGACTCATGGCGTGTGACCTCTAAGGATGTCTAGATAGTGGACACCAGTGGAAGTGGTGTTACCCAGGAAACCATATCCTGATGCTTCTCACAAGGTCCGTTACCACGACAAAGCACCTTGTCCTCTTCCTAGCTCTGCTAGTGGCATGTTCATCTTCTCTTTTGTTTTCCATTTCTTTGATGTGGCCCGGTATGAATCAACTACACTTCCAGAGTTTGCTTTGCATCTGAAAATTTCACCTAGAATGAAGCAGAGTCACTGTTGACAAAACTTTTGAGAAAACTGGGCTTTGTCTGAGAAATCTACTAGTAATCCTGGGATGTTGTAATATCTGTCATTCACCTAAGATTGTGCTCTCAATTTTAAAAAGTGACTCAGATCAAGAACCTATATCCATGACACTATAGGAGTCAATCAAGTAAGCAGCTTAAATAATTTCTTAAATTAACAACCTCACTTTTTAAAAATTAGGGTTATTTTTCTATTATTCTACCAATGAATATGTAAATACTATATATTATCATAGAATTGGGTAAGATAAATGGTGTTATTACAAGTGTCAGAGAATCAATGTTTTGAGGAAAAGTGAATCAATATTTTAAAATTGTTTTCACTGAACAAATGAATGGTTTTAATGCCATAGAAATAAAATTGCTCTGTTATGATTTCATTTGGTTAAACTTATCAGAAGTCTAAGGGTTGTAGGAGAGGGCTTGTTGGTTCCAGGTTGCCCTGCTAGCTTAGACCCAAAATAATCAA